TGTCGTTTCAATCAAGGGCTCCTATACCCGATCACATAAAACCTTGAAAACGGGGGCTTCAAAGAAGAAGGGTAGTCATAAGCAGCAGCAAGTCAATCTTTGCAAATAAAAAAATTAAGTAGTCTGTGAGTTAAGGACATTCACATTACTGAAGTGGTCCCAAAAGGTCACCTTCACTTAAGACTGTGGTGAGATCTTCTTCAATCTCTAAAGTTTGCGTCGTCTCTACATTTGATGCTTGCGATAATGCTTGAGATTGCGTAGTAAAATCAGCTGGATTTCCAGGTATCCCCATACCTAAAGGATTTCACCTCTATAAACAATTTCTCTTTTAAAACGTTTCTTACCTTTGATTTCACACTTCGATCCAATATTTTTCTTATTGCAAATTTTCTCAATATGGAATATATACGGATCCGAAAGTTTTGTGTTGTTTTCAACTCTCATATTCATTACAAAAGTGTTTCGATCTTGACCAAGAACTACAGCTTCCAGATTCGGATTGTTCACAATGGTAAGGCTATCAGAAACTGGAAGAATTAAGAGATGTTGGTAGCTGAAAGGAGATACAAAGAAAATTTACTATTCGTCAGAAGAGAACCTTGTTGTAGATATATCAGTAATGGTAAAGAAAAGCCTTAAAGGCAGCATTCATTACCGCAAAATTGTCAAGAAACGGAGATTTAGTACCCTCTTTTGACTGGCAAAGAGCGTCAGAGAGCGACTTCAAATTTTTGACATTTATTTCTAGAATGATAGCATGCATTTTGCTAAAGAGAACTGATTTTGAGAGGCCAAATAGCAATGCAGAAGAAGATTTCGCTATTTGGGCGAAGTGACGCGAAATGGGCGGAGTGGCCTAAAGGTCGGAATGATTTTCTCGCTTACTACTGCAATTATTTGCGTGAATTAGAGATGACTCAGTAAAAGAGTCGATTCTTGATGAAGATTCAAAATCTTTAGTTTTGCCGGAAGTACTGCCTTTAATTCTTTTGTTAGCAAAATCAATGCTTTCGAACTTTCAAGATTATTCTGTTACGGGAGAAGGAAAAAAGAAGGTTTGTTGAAGATTGGAGCTGAAGGATGCTTACATTTCTTACATGGAAACATTCGCTTAAGTTTAGGCATTCTCAATGTTTTGTAATTTGTTCCATCCAATCGAATACATAAATGGACGTGAGTAGCTTCCTTGAACAACTCATTGAATTCTTCTTCACTCATTATCAATGCATTCAGTTCCAAAGAACTCTTTGGTGTTTGCTTAATAATCTTTTCTCCAGAGCAAGCTTCGGTTATATCGTCAATGGTATCCAAATCCAACCTGTCACATTCTTGGGCTAAAATTGAGCAATTTGAAAATTTAGTATGTGTAGCACCTTCTACTGTATTAAAGGACACTTCAATTGATAACCAGCGTCTTCTTACCGAAGAAGTAGGATTAACCCGGTTAACCGCAACAGGGATAGGAAGGAAGGGCTTGCTTGCTTACAAGCTTATCAGATTATATTCGCTGTTTTCCCTTCAATGGCAGCTTTTTACAACACATTTATAATTCTGCATGGAATGCCACACATACTGCATTTGCAGCGCATACTGTACTTACTATTCAACAGCGTAGCAGGTGAGTTTGTAACATTTTAAGTTGATGGAACAGCCTGGTTACTTTGGTGATGCAAAATCCCCATCGTGTTTATCAGAGTATAAACCTGCCTTTCCGGAGGAACACTGTCATGTATAAGGGAGGATCGGAACGAGGAACTTGTGTACCCATGATATTAGGATGCAGCGACGTTGTGTGTGTGCAAGGCACATTCCATGGTATTTTCGCTACCTCGCGATTATTTTACGGATATGGAGCTACAACTAGCTGCGGCCATTAGAGGGTCATTCTTGGGTGTTGTCAATGAACGTTTCAAACATGGGATATACGCAAAGTCCCGCTGCCTAGCAGTGAGCCTTGGCATCTTGCCAAAAGTGCTGAAAATTGTCGGTAAAAATTAGCTCCAAATAAGGGGAAGAAATTGTCCACGTTCGACTGTTTCTGATTCTTG